TCCTGAATTATGGCCCTTGAATATAGGAAAAATCACTTTCTTTTTAGCATGTTCTCTATCCATCTCTCGAAAATGTGGGCGTATCCTGCCTGGCAGCCGCTGGTCTTCTGATTTTGATGAAACTTGCAATGTAAGTTTATAACCCAGAGATCTTGGTTCCTTTCGATATTCGCGCATATCGGATAGTAGCTTCCTGAATTCTGGCCCCTGATTGTACGAAAAATCGCGTTTTTAGCTTAAGCTTCTCTAGATGTCACAATTATTATCCGATTTAAAAATATATCACCGTTACACCGTAATTCTGGTTGAGTTCGAATTTCGTGAAAATGGCCGCCCCTCATACACAATTAGTGTAAACATCTGTTATATCAAAGTTGTGGACCCTCTAGAGGTCACAATTTTGATCGGATTTTGATGAAACTTGAAAGGCATGTTTATAACCCAAAGATCTTGGTCCCATTCGATATTTGGGCATATCGGTTAGTAACTTCCTGAATTATGGCCCCTGATGGTATGAAAAATCATGTTTTTAGATTGTGGTCCCTCTAGAGGTCACAATTATTATCGGATTAAAAAAAAACGTTCGAATATATCACTGTTACACCGTAATTTTTATTGAGTTCGAAGTTTGTGAAAATCGGGCCAAAACTGCCGGAAAAAATGGCCGCCCCTCGTACTCAAATAGTGTATAGCATCTGGTATATCAAGCTTGTGGACCCTCTAGAGGTCACAATTTTGATCCGATTTTGATGAGAGTTGAAATACATGTATATAACCCAAAGATTTTGGTTCCTGTCGATATTCGCGCCTATCGGGATCGTAAATTCCTGAATTATGGCCCTTGAAAGTTGAATGTACAAAAAATCACGTTTTTAGCTCGCCGTCCATGTAGAGGTCACAATTTTTATCCGATTTAAAAAAAAACCATGTGAATATATCACCATTTAGATCTTGGTCCTTTTTATAATCGCGTATATCCGAACGTAACTTCCTGGATTATGGCTCCTGATTGTTCGAAAAATCGTATTTCTAGCTTGCGGATTCTCTAGAGGTCACATTTTTTCCCATTTTAAAAACCGTTTAAATATTTCACCATTCCACCATAATGAAGGTTGAATTCGAATTTCGGGAAAATCAAATTGAAATTGCCCGACAAAATGGCCGCTCTTTGTACACAAATTGTGTAAAAGTACACAAATTTTTATCCGATTCTGAGGAAACTTAAAACATATCTTTATATCACAAAGATCTCAGTGCAGTATTTGCGCATTTCAGACCATAGCTTTCTGGATTATTGCCCCTGAGTGTACAAAAAATCCCATTTGTTTTTAGCTTGTTCTCTATCCATCTCTTGCAAAATGTGGGCGTATCCAGCCTGGCAGCCACCGGTTCTTAATATTGTTCATTGAAGTTGATTAGCCAGATAGGCATACGGCGAGGACATTGAAAGATGCAAATTTTAGACTTCGTTTCCGACACCACTTTAATTTGGTATAATGCTTATTCAGATTTTTGAAATCAAGTTTATTTAAAATACATGTTTTATATGTAGTAAAAATGTGTGAGATGGCTTTTTTTTCAAAGGAGCTAAGTCTCTAACTCATTATTTTCCATAATATTCGAAATTAAAAACACGAATTAGAATTCAATATTGATCAATTTCAATCAACATTGATGTTGTTATCTTGCCGTGAAACTATAGGATCCTAATATCCAATATTTAAGACACAATTAACATTTTATAATCGGTACACGAGTCGTATATCCTATGGTTTCGGGTGCCATCTTGTAAAATGAACAAATAAAAACATATTCTACAACACAACACAGTAATTAGTAAAGGCTGATTCACGAACGACAAATAATAATTTTTTAAAAAACGTGTAGAATGCACTAAAGCAGGCGTAAACGACTGCCGTTCAATTTGAACTGTGCACTACTTTCACCGAACACATTAGAAATTACAATATATTTTTCAAAAATTGATTATAAATCACTTTACATACATTCATATGCTGTCTTTTGATTAAGTATTCAATGATTCCTCTATTCGTTCGCTTCCTGAGAATTCTGATGTGTTTTGGGGAATAGGGTGGGCAGTAGGGTTTGGTGAATCAGATGGATTCTGGTTTCGAGCTGTGGTTTTGTAATACAGATGACCGATACGTTTGGTCCCATGCTCGATCTTGTCTTTGATGACAATCCTTGAGTGGGTTGTGGTGAAGTAGTACTAAGTGTGTCTCCTTCCGATAAGGTAGCATTTGTCGCTCGCTTGTCATATATATCTTTGGATTTTTGTTGAGCTTGTGTTACATAATGTAAGCGACAATAATATGTAAAAGATTTGAATGACAGCTTGTGTGATACAATCTCTAATATCCTTTAATTGACCATAGTATTGTTTAATTTATCAAAGGCCCTTCGGCTGACATATCTATAGTGGACAAGTTAGAGAATACGCTAACCGCTGGTTGCCTTTACAACAATGTCTTCAGTTAGCACACATCAATTGTTCTGTAACCTGCTAAGTGATTATCATAAAAAAATAATCTTAAGTTCTTTTGTTCAGTATCATTAATGATGTACCATATTTAGTATAAAATGACTTAGGTTTTTGGATAGAAATCAGACGAGCTTTGGTTGCTCTACAGAGAAGGGTTTCTCATATATTTAGTAATTTGATACTATTGTATATGTTAGAATAAAATGTTGAATTCAGATCATCTTTTATTTCAGATTTGGTGGTATTTCGCCCTTTTCTTTGTAGTCAGTGATGATTTGATAGTCAGGGCACTGTCTCTGAATATCGATTATATTCGTCTAGTTTACCCAAGATATATCCAATGACATCACCGCTAGCGTCTGTTGTCAAAATGAACTCTATGCTAAAATCTAGATAGATTAGAACCGGTGCATTGGAGAGTACAACCTTCAGAGGTTGCATTACGTTGTCGCACTTCCCAAACTTATTTCAGGCTTTTGCTGGTTATTTGGTGTAGGGAACGATCTTACTGCGTCGACTTTTGCTGGATCGACATAGATACCTTCTCTAGAGAATATATGCCCTAGGTAGAAAACCTCTGGCCGCGAAACGACAGTTACTTGGTTTTAGTGTTAATCCAGCTTCCTTTAGTTTCTGGAAATGAAATGGGGTTTAACGTCCTACTGTTCTGTTCCTATTAGGCTAATGAAGACGGGCATACGCCATACAGTGTGCGAAATTTTGCACCATGGCCTACTCTTATATCGAATTCCAACTACCAAGGGATCTTTTACGTGCACGCAAATGTATACACGGGACTAGGTTTTTCGTCCCATCCGAACGACTAGACAGCTGTCCTTGTCAGGCCCTCCGTCCTTCACCACTGACCACGAAAACCACCCCGGAAAATTAAGATGAAGGGATCGAACACCCAACCTCAAAGCTAGCGAGCCAGCGTCTTACCCACTTAGCAGCCACCGTGCACCGTGGCTCCACTTTAGTTTCTGGAAACTTCTTTCAGTCGTGCCATGTATTCCCGGAAGTCTTGAAAAATATATACATGTACACATAGAGTGTTCATGATGCTCGTGATCTTTATGTTCCAGAAATAGATGGAAATAAGGGAGTTGTTTTTGTTGAGCACTAGGGTCACGTTTAGATAAATCGAGCTGAATGTCGACTGTATTTGACGTATCTGATGTGTTTACTGAAGATGGCTGTTTGAAATTGAGATGGCGGCAGCATTTGAATTGAAGCCAAATTATAATTTTTAGATATGAAAGCCTTTTCATTTCATGTACTTATAATGCACTGGGTGGTTGATTTTATAATACATCTAGCACTAATGATAACTGAATTCTTAGATATAATTGGTTCTAATAATAATGCTGAATTTTTATGCACTTTTCATAGTTTGATGGGCAAATCACATTCTTGATCAGGATGCAGTGTACATGAAGCTCGTCATCTTGCTGTTCTAGAATTGGGTTCTGCATGTGGAACGTGCATGAGTCCATCTTTTAGTGTAATGCGACTAGCAAAATTAAGGTTAGCTTCGTTTTAGTTTGCAAAAAGTCAATTCCTAATATAACCGATTGGTAGAACATACATGAGACTTCTGGTGAAAAGCTACGTTGCCTAATCTAACTCTTATGACTTTATTACCTAATACTCGGTGGGTCTGGCCCCCTACACCAACAATATTGTAAACCTCTCTTGCATTTAAATCGTGTTCAGAAGTGTAAGTATTGTAAGATATAGAGATCCCTGAATCAACAAGAGCGTTAGTTCTTCTGCCATTTATGTATCACAGCCAAATTAAAAACTTGAAACTCGGGATTTTTGGGACGAGATTTTTAATATTTGGTTTAAGGCAACTATTTTAGTGTTATGTTGTGCACGTGATCCACGTGACTTTAAAATTTTAAGAAATTAAAGGCTTCTTACTACTTACTATCGTTAGAAACACTTTAAAATTTATTTGACTTACCAGAAAAATTTTTTTGTTGAAATTCATCAGTGTCAAGTTTTTAAATTGACTGAGTATATATACACATATCTGTAGTCCACATGGATCTGTTAAATATATAAATTTAGTCCATGTGTACCTATTAAAATAGAAACATGACACAGCGTGCAGGTTGTTATTTTTAAACCTTGATTTTGTTTTTTTATTTTTTAAAATGTTGCGTTTTTTGTTCTTATTTCCAACACCAGTCTTTACTTAAAAGTAGCTAACTTGATGTTACTTTTAAATCAAATTAAATTAAATATTGGCCTTGTTATACAATAACATCAATAATTATAAATGGCTTGCAGATTATTAAATTTGTTTTTTTTATTAATGGGCACGGGAAACTTCTTTCAGTTTTAATTTCTTATGAAACCAAGTTGTGGTTAATATACCATAGTAATTATGTTACAACATATGTCTATGTTTATTTTATGTGTCTTTGACTTCTGAAATGACACACAATCATAATAATATACTATATATAAATAAATAACACATGGCAAATAGAGATAATTAATGTATTGAGCAAGAATTTAAAATCCACAATATCATATAACAAATATATATATAATAGCAACAATATCATAATATAACAAATATCCATAGATAATGAAAAACATAACAATTTGTATTTAAAGTAACAAACGATAGGTTGCCAGGCAATGAAACATACAACAATATCAGCTAAGTCGTCCGTCAGTCTCTGTACGTGATGGGAGCATATACAAGACACTAAAACTCGTTAGTTTTTCGGGTTATCTAAAATCGCTGAAAATCGGTAGGCCACGAGAGGGCCCGCATGGTTTATCGAAGTGAAAAGGACAATAATTCGGTATATAATTATCGACTTTGTCATTGTTAGATTTAAAGTCAATCTAAAGAATACTTTAGAACCCTGGGCTGGGGATCCACTAGTTATATACAAGTTCTTAAGACCAATAATTCTGGAAGTAATTAGAAGATATCAATAAGCTACTTCGCCTTAAAAACAGAAACCCTGTTTATAAATTTTAAGCCAACCGGATGGTACCTTAAGCCTATAGAGCGTCCACGAGCAATGGTGGACGGCGGACAGACGGGTGTGATAACAATATGCAACCACTTTCAATGTGGACGTGCAAAAATAACCTCCTTGCCTAGAAACATTACTGTAATATTAATAATAGATTAAACATACATTATGCAAGAGCTAAATAATCTGCCTACTGCAAGTCTTTATTTAGGCTTCAGATGTTATAGAAATTATTAGACCTTTATTTACATGACAAGCCCAAAATCAACTCTATAGACCCTCGGACGGCTTGGATACAGCTTGGATTTAAACAGTCGTCCATTTAAAATTAAATCAAGTACTGGCCGACCGAGCTAACGTTTACCGTTAGTCACTGACGTCACTATCGGAAGCTGGTGATGAAAGGCTTACCAAGCGAGGGTACTAATTTGACTGAAATTTTCAATGTTTCTTTTTTTTTATCATTATAGCAACAATGGCCAACTCTTTATTAAGCTCTTAACTAATGTACCTTTAAGACACATTATATGTTTGTGGAATGTAATGATAAGCGATAGAAAATGACGTGGGAAATACTTTTATAAAGAAATATAGCAGGTGGAGTGATATTATAAACTGCATAAGTTCTAGGAAAGTAAACACAAAAATTTACAAAGGCTAACCTATCAAACCTTGTCATGTACAAAATCTATGAAATACTAAACTATTTGTATATACAATTACAGTGTTATCTTTACCACACTGGTTAAAACTGTTTCATAAAAGAACGTACACAAAAAGCACTAATTGTTGCACGGAGTTAATGTCTTCTGTAAATAAAATGTAATATTTACCTACTTTAGTTATCCCCCTTAGAAATATTCCTTGTGCGCGCATCCATGATAAAACCTTTGTAGTCCAAATACAGGCTAAACCAAAAATGGATGCATATTATTATGGTGCACCATTTGGAGTGTGATAGTAGGATAATTCAGTCAATTGTAAGACACGTTTAAGGTGCGTACTGTACACCCATTTTCCCATTGATAGAAAGCACCATTTGAGCTCTAACTGTACACTATTCTGTTTATTGACAAACACGCCACTTAACTGGTAATTTGATAAACCACGAGCTGTTTGTTCCGTCATCTATAAAATATCCGAGAACTTTAGCACAAAATCGTTACATGTAGATTCATTTCCCCCACCGGTTAGCGAAGAAGTTAGGAACGGGGGGAGACAACATTGTCATTGGAAAGTTTTCAAGATTTATCTGCTGCCTTGAGACTATCGTCATAACCTTTGTATCCGCGATTTTCTTTCGACGGTCTGTACCTGCATCTGATATTCACCAGGTGTTTTTTTCAGGACGAAAATATCTTTCAAGCAGCAGATTTTTAGTCAGACCCAAGAATTGGGCGTGGTCGTGTAGTGGGAGCAACGTCGGTAATCTTTTACATCCGGTGATTTGTAGAAAAAAAGAATTTTGAGTTCCTTACGGAAATATGCACCGGTGACGCTATAGAGAAAAAAGTTGATGCAATAATTGAGATAGAATATTACCCGAGTTATTAGAAGCAATCCTTGCATATTATCAAAGTCATGCGCATGTTTATTCATACTAGCTGAAATTGAAAGTAGAAACTGTTTACACCACACACAGAAGAAAGGTAAATTTAAGGCAATAAAAACAAAGGATATGACAAGTAAAATAATAGTAAATTCTAACTTTATGATGCTTTCTTCAGTGATAATTTTAATAGAACGATGTTTTTTATTTCTCAAGAAAAGTTTTCTCATAATTAAAGTGTTTAACACGGTTATTATAATAAATGGAATAAAAGTTATCATAACAGCAAATATGCTGTCTAATATAAAGACAGGAAAGGATAACTCTGGATCACGCGTGCACATTTTAACTTTAGTGTGGTTTATTTCATATACACCACTTAATAAAGGTTTATACATCATAATACACCCTGAACAAACCACTAAAGAACAAATTATCTTTTGGGAAAACCGTTTTCCACAAATATCCTTCCGTCTTAACGGTAAACACACACCGATGTATCTCTCCGCTGTAAAACTAACAATAAACCAAGCAGAGAGAAACCTACTGAGGTATGAGAGATACAAAAATGCCTGACACACAACGTCTGTTTCCAAAAACATCACTTTAAGGTCAGAGTTCAAAGCTGGTAATCCTCTTTTTAACCAATCAACGAACACATAAAAAGTAAGTGCTAGAATATCTGACGTCGACAGTGCTGCTAGATACGTACTGGCGGATAATTTCCGCATGTTCTTGGATAAAAACACACGCAGCGACAATATGTTTCCAGTAAGTCCTACCAACAAAATAACAGGCGTGAAGTACGAGTAAAAATACTGGCTATGTGTTAACAACTTAGGTTGCAAGACTTGTGGACAGTGGCTAGTATTGAATGTTATGTTGTCATGCAGAACCTTCAAGACATCTCGTACCCCATCATGAAGACAATCCGCCTCCGTCATGTTAAGGAACTGAAAAATAGAAAAATAGAACCGTATTACAAATAATAAATATTATATTCTGATATATAATTTAAATTAGTCGAAGGTGTTATATTGAGAACGGGTCGCTTTGTTGCGTTCTATATTGAGGGAATCTTGTCTACAAAGATTCTACTACAATAGGTATAGGTTTATATAAAATGTAAATATACAGTATTTCACAATTAATGTGGTATGTACATGTAGTGTTATAATTTACTCTATCACAATAATATCCATGTTATATTTGACACGTGACACTGGTGAAGTTTGTCAATTATTGACATTTAAATAGAATCCCGAGACTCGATGGTGGTTGGTCATGGTGTAGAATATAATAGGTATTGTGCAACACCTTGTCCTAGCCGGTAGACAGGATACAGAACCCTGTGACTAAACTGGCCAATATTAGGCATAAGCCCCGTTTACACTTGGCCGCGATAAGCGTGCCGTTCTGGGCACGGTACCAGGCCGCGATAAATTTCAAGAAATTGACCCGTTTACATTACTCTAAAATAACCGGTCTCAGAACCGTGCCAAGCACGCTAAATGTGGAACTCTTCACAGAAAAGTTAATTTCAGTCCCTATACAAATTACCCAGATGAAAACAATTATGATGGTTGATTTAGTTTTAGCAGCCATTTTGACAGAACTGATGACAGCTGTCAAAGTTTGCGGGAAAAAGGGTCAAGGTTCATTTGGCGCAGTAATCCGTGCCCAGACCGGTTAGCGTTTACACTACGAAAATTTAAAGCGAGCTGGTCCTGGTACCGTTCCGAGACCACCTCACTCCAGTGGGCCAGATTGGCACCGTACCAGGCGCGGCACGCCTACGTTTGACCCGTTTACACTACAAAAAGCAAAGCGTGCCGTACCTGGTACGCTTAAAATTTGTAATGTAAGTAGTAGTTATTAGCACACTTTCCGAGGTTTATCGGTGAAGATCAGGGCCCTGTTTCTCGAAATCTTAACTTAAGATAAAATCCAATTTTAGTAGATATTTCAATTTTGATTGGCTAAGCATTAAAATCAATCTAATATTATCCAATCAAATTATTAAAGTTTGGATTTTATGTTAGTTAAAATTTCGTGAAACAGGCCCCAGGACAGTTTTGGTCGAGGGGTCCAGCCGAGGCGGCCCCCGACCAAAACTGTCCTGATCTTCTGCTGGGCCCCTCGACCAAAACTGTCCTAATCTTCACCGATACACCGAGGAAAGGTGCTAATAAGTCAAATACATCACATTTCTATCGAGTATTGTGAAGCGAAATGTGAAAAATAGTATTTATTATCGAGTCGTGTCAAGCGAAATGTGACAAATACTTTCTTCTCTTTCATTTATCCCTTTCTGTGCCCCACGTTAAATTTCGTGGTAGAATGATTTCGCAGTGGAGAAACGAGCTGAGTAGTATTTACACGTGCGTCTTGCTGCGTTACCCTGAGCGTAAAACAGACGCGTGTTTTACTTAACATCGCACTCCGTATTGCGTAGAGGACTGGAATTATATTAAACGTAATGTAAAGTGTGCATCGGTGGATGGTTTGTCCGTTGAAATTTATTTGTAATAAAATTTATGACTTTCTAGGCGTTTGTTTTCATCCTGCTTGTTTAAAAGTGTTCGTTTGTCGGAAATGAACAGTACTATTTATGGAAAGCGTATTCTTCATTTCTGATACACGGATACTTTTGCCTGTATTGGAAATAAACAGGACAGTTTTATCAAACTGGCAACGAGGTAGAAGTGGGTTGTAAACGGGGTTATAGTGTATAATGGTAGCAGTTTGCTATGTTTCGTATCAGTTACACTGTATGGGGGCGAATAGGTTAAACCCTACGGGTTTTTTTAAACAAGAGAAGTTGTAACGAACTAAATTAAATGGTCAAAATATCAAAAGATTTAACAAACAGTAATTATTTATTCATAAATCAATAAAACATATTTAAGTTTTAGGTCTTGTAAATTTAACAACATCGCTCTATTTCATTTTCATTTAAGCAGCCTCTATACCAATAAATGGATGATATTGTTTCACATAGAGTTAATTCGTAACCAAATAATTGAATAACAATCAAAATTGGTAGATATTTTGTCTGTGTGGTACTTGACAAGATTTATTCAAATACCGTTACTTGAACGCAGAACCTATTTAGGGTCTTATTGGCGAAGCACGGTTTTCGAGGATTTGGCTTTGAAAAGGGAATGAGGTTGGGTAGAGATTTCCCGCTTTTGACCAAACTTGATAGGTTCATTATTTAGCTCCCCAATCACCTTTATCGACCCTAATGCAATATCTGAAGCGACCTTCTCAAAAATATTCTACTTTAAATACTGTACGGGTTTGTTTATTCTGGACCACCCGATATATTCTCAGTAAGCATCGGTACTTTTAACCGATAGGTAATTAAGGCCCTAGTGTCGCATGTATTGATAAATGTACGACTATGAGGCGTTGTTTACAAAAAAACCCCAGCTAATGTCTGTCATGCCGAATAACTAATTAGTAATTAAACACGTCATATCAAGAAATAATTACGATTCATTTATATCTCATCTAAGTATAATTAGGAGATACACACTTCCTGTTTCGTATTTAAAGGGGGTCGAGTTATTCTAATGGATAATTCAAACATGGTTTAATGGACAATAAACCCCCGTTAAATACGAAACAGGAACGTGTTCATCGATATTGTAGTTCATATATTTAGGAAATGAAATGAAATGAAATGAGGTTTAAAGTCCTATTGTTCTGCTCCGAACTGGGTTAATGAAGACGGGCATACGCCATACAGTGTGCTATGAGGGAAATTTTGCCCGGGCAGCGGCACTACGGCCTACTCTTATATCGAATTCCAACTGTCAAGGGATTTTTTACGTGCACGCCAATGTGTACACGGGGCCTCAGTTTTCGTTCCATCCGAACGACTAGACAGCTGTCCTTGTCAGACCCTCCAGCCTGCATGACTGACAAGAGGGAACCACGCCGGAAAAAAAACCCCAAAAAACAAACAAAAAACTATAGCGTCTATGGCAATCACAAGGTTTTAGGAGCAGAAGTGGTAACACTCTAGAATGGAATATCGATAGGGTTCTTCAAAACCAAATTTGAACTCCGGAACTGACCGGCGTTCGTTGTTACACTGTTAGTTCTACAAAATCTTGATGACAACACTGATTTAACTTCTTATAATAGTTTTATTCTTGTAGATAGGCAATGGACTGGAGCGAGTTATTGTTTACGCTCGTGGAATGGCTTAGTGCTGGTAATTTTTCTGCACAGACTAATTTAAAAATATATAAAACGAATAATGACAGTTCTTCACACCTCGCTTTCCATGCGTGATTGCTTCGAAATATTTTTAGAACTTTTAATTATTTTGGGTCCTCTTCACCGCCATATTAATGCGCTGGTGAAAAGGTTGTGAGAATTTGCGACTAAAAGTTCCGGACCCGATGATTTCAGCCAATCAGCCGATGATTTCAGCCAATCAGTAAAAACAGAAAAATCGTCATGAACGGGTGCCGATGTAAATATCTTCAAAGACGCATTATTTTTTCAACGTTTTGACGAAATATGTAGTGCTTTATCCACCAAGTAATCAAGAATCCTGGCAAATTAGTTCAGTTTAGTGATACAAGTTGAAATTCTGTTGCGAACTACGCTTCTCTATGGCAAAATCTCGACGAAAAGGAGCAGAAAATTGTCATTTCTTATCGTGATGTGTTTGAAGGTAAAGCAGGCCTACATTAATTTTCTTTTCTCTCTTTCACACTGAAATGGCAACGGATTTTATTCTTTATGTCTATGCCCAATTCACACAGATACATGTTTGGTTTAAACAGTATTTAATCGGACGAAATATACAATAAATAATAAATTATATGGATTTGAAAGCAAACTATAAAGTATATATTAATCCGTCTCCAAAAGGTAACAAATAAATAAAATAACCAGCGGCTGCCAGGCAGGATACGCCCACATTTTCGAGAGATGGATAGAAAACAAGCTAAAACGAAAGTGCTTTTTCCTACAATCAAGGGCCATAATTCAGGAAATTACAATTCGATATGCGCAAATATCGAAAGGAACCAAGATCTTTGAGTTATAAACTTATATTTCAAGTTTCAACAAAATCGGATAAAAATTGTGACCTCTATAGGGTCCACAACTTTAATATACCATATTTTTACGCAATTTGAGAACGAGGGACGGCCATTTTGTCTGTCAGTTTTGGGCGGATTTTCACGAAATTCGAACTCAGTCGTCCTTAGGGTGTAACGGTGATATAATAATACGTTTGTTTAAATCGGATAAAAATTATGACCTCTATAGGGTCCACAAGCTAAAAACGCGATTTTTCGTACAATCAGGGGCCATAATTCAGTAACTTACGGTCCGATATGCGCGAATATCGAAAGGATCCAAGATCTTTTGGTTATAAACTTACATTTCAAGTTTCAACAAAATCGGATAAAAATTGTAACCTCTATAGGGTCCACAACCTTGATATACCATATTTTTACGCTATTTGAGAACGAAGGGCGGCCATTATATCTGTCAGTTTTGGGCCGATTTTCACGAAATTCGAACTCAGTCGTCCTTAGGGTGTAACGGTGATATAATATTATGATTTTTTAAATCGGATAAAAATTATGATCTCAATAGGGTCCACAAGCTAAAAACGTAATTTTTCGTACAATCAGGGGCCATAATTCAAGAAATTACGGTCCGATATGCGCGAATATTGAAAGGAACCGAGATCTTTGGGTTATAAACTTACTTTCCAAGTTTCAACAAAATCAGATAAAAATTGTGACCTCTATAGGGTCCACAACCTTGATATACCATATTTTTACGCTATTTGAGAACGAACGGCGGCCATTTTGTCTGTCAGTTTAAGGCCGATTTTCACGAAATTTCGAACTCAACCGTCCTTAGGGTTTAACGGTGATATAATAATACGGTTTTTAAATCGGGTAAGAATTATGAC